TAATGGATCAAGTACTTAGTAAATATAAAAATAACCAGTGAGACTTGGAGTTATAGGCTTAGAAGTCTTGTCCAAACTATGGTCAAGTAATAAGTTCTTTTTCTCTGCTTTTTACATATGTATTTTAAGTCAACGATTATGTAGCAGCTTATGGTTATGATGAAAATGGAAGAAGGAAGCAGTGAAGATAATCTTCAAGGTAAAAAATAAATAAACTAGTAATAGAGTTTGTGAAAACTTTGTGATATATCTGGAAGAACCTGCATCATGTTATTATTGAAATTTTCCAAATATTTTGACAAATTGAGTATAATAATTTCTGTAAAAAGAAACATGACAACAGGTAACAGTGTTTTATTTATAAACATAAAGTTTATAACAGAACAACACTTTAGGATCTGAATTAAGAACTTCTTCAAACACAGTTTCTAATCTATCGTAAATCAAACAGGCTTTTAACAAAAATGTATTGAGTTTTTTAATCATCACAATTTCTTGAAAAAAATTCTCCTTTCAGTTTATATTGAACAGTAACTTAAGTTTAACTTTGTTTCTTTTAAATAGAGAATTAATTTACTTGTAATTGCTCTGTTTTTGTAGCCTCTATAACAAATTAATATACTTTCTTTAAAACCTGTTTTGAAAATAAATATGCAAGTGTAACTTTAAACTAAAAAAAATCACTTAAAAAGCTGTATTGAGTTAACCATCTGTATGTATCTTTTATGTTTTTTTTTGTTGTCAAAGTGTAATAATAACTACTTGGATGTTGATACGTTTCTTTCTATTGACAAAAAAGGAGGAAATAAGATTCTCCAACAAAGTCTAGGAATGACACGATTTATGGGAATATTGTGATAGGGACCCGGGATTTTACTATACAGAAGTAAAAGTAATTTTTAATTTGAGTGTTTTTGTATTCTTAGTTTTATAGTATAGGTTAAGTTTTGAATTAGAAGTTTAATTCCATTTGTCAACAAAAAAAAGAAATATGCATGAAGTATACTGTAGTTCCAAACTAGTATCTAAGTGACGTTCCAAATGTGTGTGTATACGTGGAGGGGGGTGGAAATAACCACAAGGAAAAGAATTTGTTGATAGTGGTGACATGTGCCAACCTGTACACTGAACCTGGGTTATCATGTGTTAAAATATACGAGGAGAGACAACCACTGCTTTTACTCACTGTAGGTCACATGTGGAAAACATCCTTGATATGTTACAGTTTTGAGTGATATATATTTTTCAGAACAATATATTCATTATCAATGTCATTTATTTTTCCCATAATGCCCTGAAGAAGGCCAAAAACCCAGATTAAAATTTCTTTTAGTTTAACAAACTTAAAATGCTAATTTTGTAATTTTTTTGAAATATCTTACTTGTGTATGAAGCCCATGTAATCCGTTACATGATTCCTTACTTGTGTATGAAGTCCCTGTATTTTATTACATATCCTACTTGTGTATGAAGCCCCTGTAATCCGGTACATGATTCCTTACTTGTTTATGAAGCCCCTGGGCTTGATAAAGCAAGAATTTGTGTTCATGAAATCTATGGTGTATTTCATCAAAAACTAAATTCTGATGCAATTTAACCAAGCGATGATGTTTCTTTTATACACAATGAAAAAAGAACATCCATCATGTAATTTTAGAATTGTAGTGAAAAACCATCTGGCAAACTTCACCCACAAGTAAGGAGTCATGTAACGGATTACATGGGCTTCATACACAAGTAGGATATGTACTAAATTACAGGGACTTCATACACAAGTAAGGAATCATGTAATGGATTACATGGGCTTCATACACAAGTAGGATATGTAATAAAATACAGGGACTTCATACACAAGTAAGGAGTCATGTAATGGATTACATGGGCTTCATGGACAAGTAGGATATGTAATAAAATACAGGGACTTCATACACAAGTAAGGAGTCATGTAATGGATTACATGGGCTTCATGGACAAGTAGGATATGTACTAAATTACAGGGACTTCATACACAAGTAAGGAGTCATGTAATGGATTACATGGGCTTCATGGACAAGTAAGATATGTACTAAATTACAGGGACTTCATACACAAGTTAGATATTGTGTAATGGAATACAATAATCAATATTGGCAGGTCTGTGTTACCCTAATGATTAATGCATACACTATCCTACCAAAAGTCATGGGACACAGATAGTTATGAATAAAACTTGTCTTTATTCCAAGAAATTATTAGCATATTGACTCACCTTTGGCTCTAATGACTGCTTCTATGCTTCGTGGAAGACTGTTTACTAATGTCTGATAGAAAGCTGGTGGTATTGTGCTCCACTCCTCCTTTAAAGCATAAGTAAGCTCCACTACTGAAGAGGGCCATCTTGGCCTTGCCCTAATTCTGCATTCCAGTTCATCTCAAAGATGTTCTATTGGGTTGAGGTTGGGGATCTGTGCTGGACACTGCAATGTTCTGATGTTATTCTGTTCAAACCATGCATTCA